GCAAATGGTAGTATTATAACTGTATCCATACGGTAAACAATTGCCGCAAACCGCATTTCGCCTGTTACAGCTGTTAACATGCACTCAATATCAATTGACGATGCTAAGATTTAACACACTGGCGGCCATTGTATGACCAACCGTGTTTTATTTAAGACTTCAAACTATAACAATAAGACTAGTTTTAAGTGTTTGACTCAAGCTAGAGTCAATGCATGTTAATCACGAACGATGTCTAAGTTTGTTCAAGTTTGAAATGTGACTTGGTTAGCTACTGATTCATATACTTTTCGTTTTGCTTGATTCAAAGTGACCGCCAATCAATCATTTGTGTTTGACATATTTGATGAATTTGACTCATTGGGAGGTATTCTGCCTTAAAACTAAAAATACTGTAAAATCCCGTCAATAGTAGGTGAATAATATAACCTTCTATACACCAGTATGTTTGTCATCAGATTTCATTTCCTCGACATATCTGGGTCGATTTTTCAGGCATGTTTTGGTCGATTGTTTGATGTTGAGAAGAGTCAATGTGAAAAGGCTGTACGTCAAACATGTCTATAACGAACCATATTTCCAGCCACTGGGGAGGAATTGAAATGTATACCACAGATTACACAGGACACACATTCGGGGTGCTAGTAAATAGCGGCTCAAAGTATATTAAAGAAAAACAACTGACAGATTTTGCAGTTTGAAGATCTAGAACCAAATGTATACAAAGAAAGAGAGCACTTGAGCGCATCGATTCAACCAACGCCAATAAACATTTGGGTTTAACATTGGCACTTGTTCATTATCACAGACCGGCATTAAAAAGAGACGGGAATAAATCAATCCCTTTGCTCATATTGTTAAGACTGGGCCTGGCAGAAGACACAGGTAGGTTCTATTATTTATTTTTGTAGACACTTTTCTTAACTGCGGTATTGATGATAAATCTACTCAGTTGGGGTTTTTTATGCAAAAGACGGTGATGTTCATATACATGTTTTGAAACCAGATAAAAACATATCTACTAGTGATGGACTGAAATTGTGCTACAATTACACATCTGTAGTATGCAAGATGATGATGCCAATTCTAAATGATATATTTACAGGTCTCAAACCTGGAATCGAATTTGTGTCTTTACACATTTAGAAAGAGCATTGGCACTGTAGGACAATTTTTTTTTCCGAATTCATTTCTATATTGGCAATAACTTATAGTGGTTTGTTGGCCAAAATAGACAGAGGGATGAGCAAAGTTAACATTTTGAAACTATGATGCGTTCTAACATGATTTTGGCCCAGCGTTTTCGGATTCACTTGTTTTGTGTGCTCTAGTTATTAAATTGTGCCCTCAGTTCTTGTATGTCCATTCGTTTTAACATTGCAATAAAACAGCTGGGCTAATCACTGAACAGATGGTAAACGTGGCATATCTTGTCATTACACTAGTTGGTGATCAGAAACCTGGTATGTGTGAATTTTGAAATTTATTTCTTTTGATTTGAATGTGCTTCAATGGTTAGTTTGATACATGTTTGTGGCCTTTCTTGACCTTTGTTCATATGATAATTTCTGGCTAATTTTTGGTTTCGTATAGCCATGTTTGTAATATTATCTGTTTGAGTTATAATCTTTCAAATCACTGCCTTCATATCTGACTTTTTCTAGAAAATCTTTTGCCTCTCAAAGAAATAGATGACGGGGGCACACTGTGTCATATGAAAAGACAGTTTATAGGATTCAGAAAGTGAGCTGCTTTCTGATATTGATCTAAACACCTACTAACTAGACACTCTTGCGGGGTATTTCACGCATTTGGTCTGGTATCAACAATAGAAGATAGTTATTATCATACTCATAAACTGGAAACCCATTTGAACTGTTTTAAGAGGCATTGTGATTGAAAAAAGAAATACAATTTAAATTAAGATTAAGAAAAAGCCAACCAAACATGAAACTATGAAAGAGAAAACATCGCATAACTAGGTTCAGACGGCTATTTGAATAGGCGGATAGAGCTCTGATACATACACTAAAATAATGAAATGGTGATGGGCCAGATGAGGCGGGAGATGTGTACTTAGCCTAAATATTATCAAGGATTAAATACTCGAGTAGGAGGGTTCCGAAAATTACAGTGAGCATCTTCCACGATTTCAGTGAGAGATTTGCTAAATTATCTTATTGAATAATACATTTTTATATCAAACTGTAGCAATCCTAACTATATACATCCCTTACTATTCAGATCGTGTAGAGACAGTCTGCACGAGGGAGTCACTATATTATGTGATCATTGAGAGCATTATGGGTGGAATAGAAGCTATATATTAGTAGCAGTGAA